ATATAAGAACCCTCCTCTATATAAGAACCCATATATATAAGAACTAATCTGGACCGTACAATTAGTTTGATCTGACCGCTGAAAATAAATGATTAGTAATGGCATTTTAGTAATTTTTGCTGTTCTTTTCCCTTTCTTTCTCCTTATTCACGTTTCTTCTTTCCTTTTTTTTGGGCTTGGAACATTACAGCTCTCTCTCTCCTCTCATACATTACAAATTTACAACTCTTTCTCTCTCCTCTCATACATTACAACTCTCTCTCCTCTCATACTTTTGGATGCAAATTCCTTCAAGAAATTAAGGTTTGTTATTCAATTTTTATAATTTTGATTATCCTTTTAGTTAATTTATTTATTGATATCTATTTTTTGCGAATTTTTGTTGAATTTTTTTTATTTTGGCGAATTTGTGAGAAATTTTATTTTTTCTAATTATTTGTGGATATGCAATTCATCAATTCGAAAATCAGCAAAAATCTGTTTTTTTTTCTTTTTGCGATTTCATCATTCAGTTTATGTTGATTTTATCTTCTTTTTTTTTTTTTTGCGAATTTTCTTGAGTTTTTTCATTAATTTCATCAATTTCGATTTTTCATTTCCAGAATTTTTCGATGTTATATTTTTTTGTTTTTTTTTCCGACTTTCGAGCAATTATTTTCTGTTTTTTTCGATTTTATCTGTTTTTTTTTTTTTGCGAATTTTCTTCAGTTTTTTTTCATTAATTTTCTGTTTTTTTTGTTTTTTTTTGCGATTTTTCATTTCCAGATTTTCTGTTTTTTCCTTTGCTTGAGTTTTTCCAGATTTTTGATTTTTAATGGATTTTAATTTCTAGTTGCTTTTTTGCTACAATATGTGTTTTTTTAAATAGGTTTTTGCATATTGATGGATTTAGATGGTGTTCAACCTAATTATCCTTCTTCTTGTGTTACTTATTCAGGTAATTTTATTGTTTTTAATGTTTTAATTTCAATTTACTTACATGTTCTAAAGTTTCTTTACTACGTTCTAAAGTTTATCGGTAATGTTCTAAAGTTTTCTCTATATGTTCCCATCCGAATGATAAGCGCAAATGCCATGTTCCGTTGCCTGTTGAACTCCTTTTAGAATGCAGAATACATCGGAGTATGAAAGAGTGGTTGATGAAGGATTATAAAAAGTAGTACGTGTTAGATGCTTCATCCAAATATACCATAAATGTACCAATCGCAATTGAAATCTGCTACTGACACTGTATATTTTCACATGGAATTGAATGTGTAGTAGTGAGTCCTAGTGATAAGGGTAAACGACAATACTAATTTAGAATTGTCATGAGTCACATCTTTATGAAATAGCAGAGATATTTTCACAAGCTATGTTAGAGTGTAGAGTCTATAATTTGCAACCCCACACATGCACTTGCAAATCACTGATTTAATATTTCTTCACTAGGCTTTTCAAACTTTTTTGAGATTGTTTGTTCTCTGTTGGAGCACTGTTTAGTACTACAAACTAAAATTAGATGGATTTTATCCACTTTTTATTTCTTAACATGACTATATTGCTTGGCCAAAACTAAATACGGAGTATAATTCAAGTAGTGCAAAAAATAGCATGAGCTAAAATAAAATATTATGGTACTAATCTGAGGAAGTTAAATAATTTGATAAATAAAAATATCTAATCCATTTTAAATAATTTGTAATGATTCAAAGTAAACTGTGGGTAAACAATATCAATCATTATCGGATAATGCCACAACAACCTCAAGGCTCGTCTTGGAGCTGGGCATTGGGGCTTGGGAGTTGGGAATGCTACTTTTTCCTAGCAATCTGACATAGGGATAGTTGATGCATGTCACTGCTACTGGAATCACCGAACCATGGCCCCACCAATCTGACATAGGGAGTAGGGAATCCTACTTTATCTTTATATTCTAAAACTTTCATTCTATGTTCTAAAGTTTACCTTCTAGTTTTAAATTTTACTTTTTATGTTCTAATGTTTACTTTCATTGTATGTTCTAAAGTTGACCTTCTAGTTTAATTTTTTCACTTTATTCTAAATTTTATTATGTATGTTATAAAGTAATTCACTATGTTCTAAAAGCAATATGTTATAAGTATGTCCCTAATTTACTATGTTCTAAAGTTTATCCTTGATGTTCTAAAGTTTTCTCTGTATGTTCTAAAGTTTTCTATGTATCTTTCTCTTTATATTATAAAGTTTTTTTATGTTCTAATGTTTTCTTCATATTCTAGGACTTTCATTGTATATACTAATGTTTACTTTCATGTTCTAATGCAGTTGGTGATATTTATCGTACTCCAGAGGTTGTTGGATCATTTAGCCCTGGTGGTACCACTAAGAAATGGATTCCAAGTGTTCCCGAGGAGTTAAAAACCCAGTTTGGGGATGATTTTAAAGATCCTGAAGAGGGTCTTAGTTTTTATAAAGCATATGCAAATGCCGCTGGGTTTACTTCTAGGAAATCTACTACTAAAAGGAAGAAGAATAACAAAGATATAATTGCTTTTCAATATGGAGTTTGCAATAAGGAAGATTTTAGGGCAATAAGAAAACCTATTGCTCAACAAACAGTTTATGAAGAAGGAAAAGTTCGTATTACTAGGAAACGTTTAGTCACTCGTGTAGGATGCAATGCTCACATATGTATGAGATATGATGCTGGAAAGTATGTTGTAACTCATTTCAAAGAAGAACATAATCATCCTTTATATACTCCAAGTTGTGCAAAATTTCAGAAGGATAATAGAAAAATGCATATTATGCATAAAAAGTTGATTGTTGATAATTCAAAGGTGATTTATTTTTATGTACTAAATAATTTTTTTTTTGTTTTGATTTACTATGTTCTAAAGTTAATTCTTAATCTTAGTAATATATTTTTTTTTTCTAACAGGTAAATGTTGGTCCTGTGAGGTCTTATACTATGATGAAAGAATTAGCTGGATCACATGATAATGTTGGTGCATCTAAACAAGATTTCAAAAATTTTTATAGAGATTTGAAGGCTTTTATTGATGGATCAGATGCCCAAATGTTTGTCGATAATTTTCAAAATAAGAAATTGCTCTAGAGTGCATTTTTTTTTCCTATGATGTTGATGAAGAAGATAGACTTTGTAGAGCTTTATGGGCTGATCCTATCTGTCAAAAAAATTATGCACTTTTTGGTGATATGGTTTCTTTTGATACCACATTCAAAACAAACAGATGATGTTTTAAATATAAATTTCTTTCATAATGTAATTAATATTTTACTTTTACATATTAATTTTTTAAACATATGTTCTTATATTCTAAATATCATGCCTTGTGTTCCTAAACAAATATCCATCATGTTTTGATGTTCTAAACAGATATTCTTTATGTTCTAAACTATGTATGCCTTATGTTCTAAACATATATTGCTAATGTTCTACCTTATGCTTTAAAATATATCCATCATGCTTTTATGCTTTAAACATTATGCTTTTGTGTTTTACACTTTATTCTTTGTGTTCTAAACTAATATCCATCATGTTCTAAACATTATGTCTATATGTTCTAAAGTTTACTTATAAGTTTTTAAAGCTACATTGTATATTTTTAGTTTAGTGTTTATGTTTTAGAGTAATTCATTATGTTTTAAAACAACTATATTACTGCCACGTTTAATAATTAAATTAAATTACTATCCTCTAAAGTTTATCCTTAATGTTCTAAAGTATACCTCTATGTTCTACAATTTACCTCTATGTTCTAAAGTTTACCTCTATTTTGTAACATTTTCTGCATAAATAATTTGTGTATGTTACAGATATAATATGATCTTTGGTCCATTTACTGGAGTTGATCATCATAAAAAATGTGTTACTTTTGCGGCTTCTTTTGTAGCTCATGAGGATATATCATCTTTTGAATGGGTTTTCAAAACTTTTCTTAAATCAATGGGAAATAACGAGCCTGTGTGTTTGATTACCGATCAAGACCCTGCAATGAAAGTTGTTGTTCGTAATGTTTTTCAAAACTACAGAACATAGGTTTTGTATGTGGCATATTATGAAAAAGGTACCTGAAAAAGTAGGTCGGGCGATTGCCCAAGACACTGATTTCTTGAAAAAACTGTGTTCATGTGTTTGGCATTTAGAGATTGAGCCGGCAGAATTTGAAGAAAAGTGGAACAAAGTTATTTCAGAATTCCATTTGAAACGATCATGAATGGTTGGCATACATGTACAACATACGTGATATGTGGATTCCAGCGTATTTCAGAGATTCATTTTTGGGTGGCATTATGAGGACCACATCTAGATCAGAAAGTGAAAATAATTTTTTCACTATGTTCACAAATCCCCATCTCACTTTGATTGAGTTCTACATGAGGTAATAAGTAATTGTCTATATATGTTCTAAAGTTACTCTTTATGTTCTAAAGTTTTCCTTGTATGCTCTAAAGTTTTCTTTTTATGCTTTATAGTTTTACTATTTATTTTATAATTCTCTTTTATGTTTTCTTTTTCTCTTTATGTTTTAATAATATTTAGATCATAATAAACAAGTCATGTATATTTATATGTTCTAATGTAATTCACTCTATGTTCTACAATTATCTTCTATGTTTTAAAGTTAATTTCTATTTTCTATAGGTTTGAATGTGCATTGGATGCTCAAAGGCACACTCAAAATAAAATGGATAATGATTCGAAGAATAAGCGTCCGGAGTGTAAGACTCCAATTCCTTTAGAGAAAGATGCTTCTGAATTGTTTACAACAACAATTTTCTATGAATTTCAATATGAGCTTGAAATTTGATGTTTTAATTGTGGTGTTGAGGAGATGAAGAAGGACAATGAGCTTTACATTTTCAATTTGAGGGAAGGAACTAGAAGGAGGACTTTTGATGTTGTTTTTGATCCAACTACCTTTGATACCAAGTGTTTTTGTAAAAAATTTGAACGTGATGGTGTGCCTTGTAGGCATATGATTTGGGTGTGGAAGGCAAGGATGTTAGAAAAAAATTCCCAAGGCCTACGTTCTAAATAGATGGTGTACAATGGCTTATAAGAAGCCCATTTTTGATTTAGAGGGTAATGTGTTGGAGGAATTTACTAATGCAGTAGATAAGAAAATGTTATTAAATGATTTGTGGTCTGAAATTCATGCTTGTGTGAGTTTAGTGCAAAACAATGAAGATGATCTTAGTGATCTTGTCAAAAAAACTTCGAGCCATGAGGGTAGATTTGGAACAGAAGAAAACAAATGGAAGCAACAATCTTTCGAGCAAAGTTAAAGACATTGAAATGCTTATTGGAGCTAGTCTACCTTCTAATGTTTTAATCAAACCTCCTAAAATTTCGAAGAACAAAGGCACGGGGGTTCATGTTCCAAATCAGGTCAATGTTCCAAATGATGTCCATGTTCCAAATCAGGTTCATGTTCCAAATCAGGTAAATGTTCCAAATGATGTCCATGTTCCAAATGAGGTTCATGTTCCAAATAGTGACAAAAGAATGAAGAGTGACAGAGAAAAGTCTATTGAACAAAGTCAAAAGAAGAAGAGATTATGTAGAGCATGTGGGGAGCTTGGTTATCATGATAGTCGTAATTGCCCTGGAAAAGTCAAGTGATATTGTAAGTAAACTTTATTTTTAATTTTCTAAACTTTAAGTTTTAAGTCAAAATTAATATATAATTTATACTTTGTGTTCTAAATTAATATTCTTATTTTCCAAACATAATCTCTAGTGTTTTAAACTAATATATATGTCATGTAATATTATTTTTTTATGTTCTAATGTAATCCATTTAATGTTCTAAAGTTACTTTCTAAGTTCTAGAGTTACTTTCTTTCTATGTTTTAAAGTTTATTATTTATGTTTTAAAGTAATTCAATATGCTCTAAAGTAACTATGTTCTAAACAAGTTTAGAACATAAAGTTATTCATATATGTTCTAAAGTAATTCAATATGTTCTAAAGTTACTTTTCTATAATGTTTATTCTTTCTGTTTTAATGTAATTCAATATGCTCTAATGTTAAGAACATAAAGTTATTTATTTTGTTCTAAAGTAATTATGTTCTAAGCAAGTTTAGAACATAAAGTTATTCATATATGTTCTAAAGTAATTCAATATGTTCTAAAGTGTTTTCTCTATGTTCTAAAGTTACTTTTCTATGTTCTAAAGTGTTTTCTCTATGTTCTAATGTTTATTCTTTCTGTTTTAGTGTAATTCAATATGCTCTAATGTTTAGAATATAAAGTTATTCATTTTGTTCTAAAGTTTTCCTTTATATTTTAACTTTTCTCTTTATGTTCAAAATATTTTCTTTATATGTTCTAAAGTTTTCTTTATATGTTTTAAAGGTTTCTTTAAATGTTCTAAAGTTTTTACTCTATATAATATCATGTGTTCTAAACTAATAGAAATGACATGTTATAACATTTTTTAATGCTAAATTATGTGCTTATGTTCTAATATTGTTTTATTTTTTTTCTTTATAGGTTGATGAATATACTATTAATCCAGTTGCATGAGATGTTATATATTTAGAAACAATATCTCATTTACTAGCACGTAAAATATTATTCATGTAATTCTTAAAATATAAGAACTCAATTTATTTACTTTTAGAAACAATATATTTTTATTTCTTTTTTGTCCAATTATTATTCAGAGTATCTCTACTAGTGTTTTTCTTATCAATTTTTATGTTAATTAAAGTTGATTATAATGTTTTATAACATCTCCTGTCTTTTCATCTTCCCCCCTTTTCGTAATTATAAGTTGTTTTATTAAGTCAATTTGAACTACGAGTAATGATAGTACAAGCATTTTAGATACCTTTATTAAACAGCATTTAGTTGAATCTTGCTTTAATCAACTTTTATTTATTCAAGTTTCTTAACATTGATTTACATATGCCTTCTTAGATATGCACTAAAGAGTGTATGCATTGTATTCAAAAGGAAAAATAAAGCAAAATTAATGGATTAGAAGCAGCCAGTTTAGAACATAAGCAAATACTTTAGAACATAGATAAAAATAATTAGAAGATTAGCAAAATCAATAATTTGGACATGTAATAAGAAAAAAGTACAACATAATAAGATATAATTAGAATCAAGTTACCAATTGAATGCTTTGGAATCTTGTTACTTTGGCTGTTGTCATTTCTTGTTACTTTTTTTTTAATTTTCTTATGTTCTAATGTTCTACACTTTAAGTTTTAAGTCAAAATTAATATATAATAATATATTCTAATATCCTAACTTTATAAGCATATAATTATTAAAACATAATCAAAAATACTTTAGAATATACCCATATAATTTAGGACATGAATATAATTTAGCATATAAGTTTATATGATATATTTTATATTAAAATTTTAGCATTTAATATGATTCAACAATATATTTCTTGTAACAGGTAAATACATAGAACATAAGAAATTACTGTTATATTCTTTGCAAATATCTCTCTACAAATATAAACTTAAGATCTTAACAATCATATATCCATTTTGTTCTCCTTTGACCACTTTTTTGATCTCCTAATCACTTTGTTCCGTTCTTCATTTACTTCTGCTGTTATTATCTTCCCACAATACTCCACTCTTAATTTTTTCATTTGGTCAAACTGCAAAAAAAAAAAAGAGTAACTTTTAGAACATAAACAGAAATACTTTAGAACATAAGCATATAATTTAGAACATGAATATAATTTATCATATAAGTATAAATAAATATAATAAACCATAATATATCTAAACAATAACCAAACCAAACCACAACACTAAAACCATAACACCAAAACCATAAACAAAACTAATTTAAAACATGTATCTTATGTTTTAAACTTACATTGTCTAATTCTAGTCCCGAATTCCATTGTTTTACAGATTCTCCTTCATATGTTTCCATGTGCTTCAACAGGAACACTCCACAATCATGTTTGTTCTTATTGCTCTTCCATGACATACTCAAGTTTCTTGTTTTGAAGGAGGATACAAAGTCACTCTTTATATTTGAGTCAATTGAGTGAACGAAATCACCAAATGCATTCAACTGAAAATTGGATAAACTTTAGAACATATAAGGTAAACTTTAGAACATAAAGAAAAACTGTAGAACA